AATTCTTAAATGGAATAAATTATAATTTTGATAGCACAAGCGTATCTGTATTTTTACTGCGTGTTAACGAGAAGGCTTATCTCACACATTTACCTGTCTTCCTATCTGACTTCGCTGCACATTCTGTTTAGTTTGTTTTCCTTAACACCCGTTGGGGAATCCAGGCTTAACAATATCCTCATTGAAAACCTGTTCCCCAGCGCTCAGGACCTCAGACTGGGATGAAGGTTCACTTTCCAACATGACAACAATTCTAAGCACACAGCCAAGACAACACAAGAGTGGCTTAGGAACAGCCAGAGCCCTGACTTGAACCCTATTGAACATCTCTGGAGGGATCTGAAAATGTCTGTCCACTGATGGTCCCCATCCAACCTGACTGAGTTTGAGGGGATTTGCAAGGAAGAATGGCAGAAAATCCCCCAGTCCAGTAGTGCAAAGCTTGTCGCGTCATACCCAAAAAGACTTGAGGCTGTAATTGCTGCCAAAGGTGCTTCAACTGAAGTACAGAGTGAAGGGTCTGAATACTTATGCCAATGTGATATTTCTGTTTTTCTTTTTAATACATTTATAGACATTATTAAAATTCTGTTTTCACTTTGTCATTATGGGGTACTGAGTGTAGATTAATGAGCAAAAAAATAAATTTCTTTTTTAAAAAAATACATTTTTTACTTTTTTTGTTTCAACAAACGTTATCATTGTGTGAACAGTGCGGTTCCAGAGTGTCTTACATTTTAGAACAAACATGACAATAATTTCATATTTAATACTGTTGACATTCTTATATAATTTAATATTAATACACATCAGAGGTGGTATTCAGCAGGTTCTGACCAGTTCTGGAGAACCTGTAGCAGAAATTTTGAGTAGTTTGGAGAACCAGCAAATACCACCTCTGACTGGCCCCTCCCCCATCTATTCTCTGCCTCCCAAGTCCCAGCTGATTGGCTGGGTCTTCTTTTGTTGCCCTGCACAGGAGAAAGGACCTGGAAATCAGGTTAGTGGGGTGGGGAGGGATGGAATTTTTCAGTAACCTTCCCTCAGGAGTGGGGGAGGGAATGGAGATTTTACGGTATCCTTCCCCTGCCACACCCACCAAGCCACACCCACAGATATGGTTGTTAAAATTTTTTGAATCCCACCACTGATACACACATTTTGTTAAATTATTCAATATTACCATATGTTATTTTTGTGTCAATCTCTATATTTTTAACATCACTTCTTTTATTATAGATACTATATTAATACTCATATTTGTAGTGTTTAACAAATTATATAATTCTAATAACCATTCATAAATTCATATTAATTTATATTTTCCATTATTTATCCCTGTTTTGATTCTTGGTTGTGCCACTATTATATTTAAGGCAAAATCCCTTTCAAGTCACATTTTAATACAAAAATAGTATTCATCCTATTTACGTTTAGCAAATTATACAATTCTAATAATAATATAATTACTTTTATCTTATGCTATATTTCACAATATTATTTTTATGTCCATCAGATTCCACATATCATTTCTTTTCCTACAATAAAATATTAATTTTCATGTTTATTAAAGTTAGCAATTATATATCTTAAGTAATAATACACACATTTATGTGGTATCATAATCTTTTTTCCCTTTTAGCCATCGTCTCTCACTCTCATTAAAGCTTTAATTAATCGCTTCCTAGCTTGTCTCCCATATTTCTCTTTTAAGTTTTCATCTTTATCATTTTTTGACCATTCCTCTTAATCATTCCTCCCTTCTCTGTTATATTCCATTGTCTCATTTTCAGATTGTCTACTCTTACCCCTATCTTTCTATCAAGAAATTCCAATCCAGATAACAGATAATCAGAGTTGGAAGGGACCTTATAAGTCATCTAGTCCAACCCCCCATCCAAGCGGGAGACCCTACACCATTTCTGACAAATGGCAGTCCAATCTCTTCTTGAAAGTAACAAGTGATGACACTCCCACAACTTCCGAGGGCAAGCTGTTCCATTGGTTGATTGTTCTGTCAGAAAGTTTCTCCTTATTTCCAGGTTAAATCTCTCCTTGTTCAGTTTCCATCCATTATTCCTTGTCTGGCCTTCGGGTGCTTTAGAAAATAGCTTGAACCCTTCCTCTCTGTGGCAGCCCCTCAAATATTGGAACACTTCTATCATCCTGGTTGCTCTTCTCTGTACTTTTTCTAGAGTCTCAACATCTTTTTTACAGTGTGGTGACCAAAACTGGATGCAGTACTCTAGGTGTGGTCTTAGTAAGGCTTTATAGAGTGGTATTAGTACCTCACTTGATCTTGATTGTATCCCTCTGTTTATGCAACTTAGGATTGCATTAGCTTTTTTGGCTGCTGCTGCACACTGCTGGCTCATATTTAGCTGGTTGTCCACTAAGACTCCAAGATCCCTCTCAGTTACTGCTATTGAGCCTGGTTTCACCCAGTCTATATGGGTACTTTTGGTTTTTCTTGCCTAAGTGTAGGACTTTACTTTTCTCTACATTGAATTTCATTTTGTTAGATATGGCCCAGTGTTCTAGTCTGTCAAGATCCATTTGGATCTTGAGCCTATCTTCTTGGGTGTTAGCTATTCCTGCCAGCTTAGTATCATCTGCAAATTTGGTAAGTTCCCCTTCTATTCCCTCATCTAAGTTGTTAATGAAGATACTGAAGAGTACTGGACGGAACCTTGTGACACCCCACTGCTTACTTCCCTCCATGTAGACTTAGACCCATTAAGGACTACTCATTGAGTACGGTTTGTCAGCCAGTTGCGAGTTCATCTGGTGGTGGTGCTATCTATTCCACTTTTTTCTAGCTTACTAAGAAGTAGGTTGTGGTCTACTTTGTCAAATGCCTTGCTGAAATCTAAATATATTATGTCCACAGTATTTTGCTGGTCTACTAATTTAGTCACTATGTTGAAGAATGAAATAAGATTGGTTTGGCATGATCTGTTTTTAACAAACCCGTGCTGACTGCTAGTTATTACTTACTTGTTTCTAGATGTTGTCAGATCTGTTTTTTTATTATCTTTTCCAGTATCTTCCCAGGTATTGATGTTAGGCTGATTGGTCTATAGTTTCCTGGGTCTGTTTTTTTTTTCTTTTCCTTTTTTGAAGATGAGAACCACATCAGCTCTTTTCCAGTCCTCTGGTAGTTCCCCGGTGCTCCAGGATTTTTGAAAGATATGGTGCAGTGGTTCTGAGATGACCTCTGCCAGCTCCTTTAAAACTCTGGGATGTAATCCATCAGGCCCTGGTGATTTGTGTTCATCAAGATCAGACAGGTGTTCTCTTACTATTGTTTTGCTTATTTTATCTTTTATTTCTGGTCTGTCTTTTACAGTTACATTTTTGGTGGGTTGAGCTATAGTTTCTTTTTGCGTGAAAACCGATGCAAAGAATGTGTTAAGCAGTTCTGCTTTCTCTCTGTTGCCTGTTACTTCCTTGCAGTCTTCTCTCTTTAGTGGACTGACTGTTTCCTTAATTTTTTTCTTGTTATTTATATGTTGGAAGAAACTTTTTTTTATTATCCCTGTTGCTTTTCTCTTAAAGTACTCTCCCCTTGGTTATTACATCAATCATTGCCATTTTAAATTTTATTTCCTTTTTGTCATTTCTTTTTATTTGTTGTTCCATCTGTTCTGTTTTTCTGGTTACTCTTCCAATTGGCTCCTCCTCTTCCTGGGTCTCCTGTTTTCTGTTATTTGTGTCTCCATTTCCATATCTTCTAGCATGCTCTGTATTTTATTCAAAATGTCCTCAAATCTTCTATTCATAATGTCTTTTATATCCTGAAGTTCCAATGCAATTTCTTTGCAAATTCCACGTGTCTTTTTGTTTATTCTATTTCTTTCTGTCCAATTGTCCAGCAGACTTTTATTCAAACCAAAGTCACTTTTCAGACTAAAAATCCAATGTCCAGGAGTCTTTATGTCCCAACATTAATCAATCTATTCTTTTAAATAGTCCAAGGGTGAAACTTTCAGAAATTCCTCTACCAATTAAATTTTATATTGTAACTTTCTGTGGTCTTTTGATAATACAATTCCTTTATTTCTCGCTTTCGATTCTTAAGTCAGGTCTTATCAAAAGTTTAGGGATCTGTAGTTTCTTAACAACAGGTGGAACCTTAAATCAGTTTTCACTTTTCTTTTTGTCTTGCTCATCAAACTTTGCCAATATTGTGAAAAATAGATATATGTTCCTTTTTTATAAATATATTACAGCATTTTAAAAATGCCTATCCAAAGCCGAAGTCTGTCCAATCACAAAATCCAATTTTCAGTTATTTTTTAAGAAATTTACTATATTCTTCTTCTATTTTACTTTACTTCCATCTTTCAGTTTTTAAAATTATGTTTTTAGTACTTTAAAAATTCTACTCCAGTATTAGGTTGCTGCCAGTTTAAAAATCCTTATGAGTCCTCTTTTCTGAATATCTTTATAAGGGTTGCACTTAAAAGTTCAAAGATATTCTCACCCAGTTCACACACCATTCACCGTCTCTTTGCTCCTGCACTGTCTTGGGTATTCAAACTGTCTCCATCTTCATGGCAGCCATTTTGGTTGCCGCTGCATCTCACCTTCAGATGAGGGGGCTTTCCATGTCAGGGAGGAGAGATGCAGCTCTCCTCTACCAGCCAGGCGGTCCCCCTTTACTTCACCACCCCACCAGGGTGGCTATGGCTCAAATTGGAGCCCTCCGACGAGGTGAGCTCGGAACGGGGCCTCAGAGCTTGCGGTCCTTGCTTCCGATGGTGATGGAAGTATAGCCAGAAGTCTGAGCAAAAAAATAAATTTCAACAACTGTGGAATCAGTCTGCAGCTGTCAACTCGTAAAGCATTCCTGGCTTGCTCTCGAGTTGCCATAAGGAGGAGGGGGGAGATCTGATGGAGCAGTTTGTTGCTATGACCAGAAGCACATTTCACGCATACCTTTCTCCAGATTGTTTCTCAAGTTACCAAGCCCAGCCGGAAAGGTGTGTTTTCCACAGCCTGAGAAAGTGCTTCATTGGAGAATGTGATTTATGACACACCCTGGGAGGAGGGAGGAAACAGGGTCATAGGTGGGCAGTAAATTACATAGGGCAGAGCCAACTGCACTTGGGGAAAGTGCCAACATGTTGCTCCTAACAAATAATTGGATTTCTTTTGAAACTTGGCTCAAGGCTCATGAATTAATTAGAGCACCCGTTGGAACCCTGACAGCCAGTCGACTCTCCTTTTTAAACTAATCAAAATTACCGGGATTCCTGGTTCCCGGGCTAATTGCTCCCTGACATCTGGGGTGCTTGGAGAGAAACTCGGGCAACCATGTCAGGGGGTGGATTATCCAAAGAAAGCCTGCTCCAAGCAACCCAAAAGGAGGCAGAGCTTGCCCCCAACCAGGAAATTCCAGGACCCAGCAGCCTAATTGCAATCGGAGTGCAGCCCTCCCCAGACATCAAAGCTGAGATGCCTGTTTCAGTGACCGAAGCAAGAAGGGATGAGTATTGGTGGAAAAGGATCTCTAAAGCAGATGAGCTTGAATTCCCCCACCCTAATACCAAGCCAAAGGGGAAAAGGCCCCTGAGCGAGCTGGGAAGAGTGGATTGGATATGGGACTGGGCACAGGCCAGGTTCCCAAAGCCCTGGATGGAGTCCCTGGGGAGTTCCACAGAGCAGCTGAGGGAGGAATTTGACCAGGCCACTCTTAGTGATGAGGGGCCCTCATGCTGCCCAAAGGAAAGGGGAGGTGTAGCTGATCCTTTTGAAGTGAGGAGACGCAGACGGGAACACAGGCCCCCTTCTCCACACATCAGAAGAAGGAGCCCAATACTGCAACCAGTGCCTCTCTGATGCAGCAGGCAGGCCGCTCAGGGCAGACAACCCCCTCCCTCTCTCTGAACTAGGGCTGAGGAAGATGGTCAGCCACATCAAGCATAGGCTTACAGGGGCTGACAGGAGGAGGGAGGAGCAATGCTGAACGAACCACCCCGCTTCAGAGGAAGATTTGATGGGGACTTCGACCAGCTAGCTCTATTCCTTGATTCAGCTGATATCCACCTAGAATGCTATGGACACCTCTATCCATCCCCCAGAGCCATGGTGAATACCATTTCTGAGGGGCTAGAGGGAGAGGCAACGGAATGAGGAGAGCCCCCCCCCCCCCCCCAACTGCAGGACATAGATTACTTCTTACAACTGCTAGAGGCCAGATTTGAGGAGGCAGAGGATGACCCGTATGCAGAAGATGAGCTCAGAAACCTAAGGCAGAGGGGGCGACCCATCAAGGAACACATCCGTGAATTCAGGAGAGTCATTGGGAAGCTACCTCCTTTACCAGAGCAGCTGTTAGTGCATTTTTTCAGAACAAGCCTGGACAAGCAAATTGCCCAGGTAACCGCCTACTGGGATATCCCAAACTGACTCTCTTGAGTGGTTCCGAGTAGCCATAAAAGTTGATGGCGGATTGCGCGCCAATGACATGAAAAAGCAACCGGACACTGAAAAGAGAGGTCAACCAGAGCAGAGGCCACCCAGCTGATGGGAAACCACAGCACCACAGCTGGCCCCAAAACCAGCCCTCCCACGAAATCCGCTGAAACACACAGGGGATTAGGCCACATGGCATCAGGATGCACAACCCCAGCCCCGAACCCAAGGCCAGAGCCACCATCCAGGACACGACCAGAACGAGGCCCCAAGCGCGCCACTGATATGTCTGATATGACCTGGAAGGCCCTCCAGGCTTCAGAGGTCCCTCCCCACCCAGCTGAAGGGGGGGAACCCCAGGCAATGATGACTAGTCACCAGAATCCTACGACAGCGAGGATGAGGGCGAAAACAACCCAATGGTGAGTGAACTAGTTCACCCTTTCATTTTCCCAATACGCCTAACAGCCCCAAAAACAGGAACCCAGGGGACTTATCAAGCCCTAATATACTCAGGCTGCACTAGATGCTTGATCAACCTAACCACGGTTCTGATACTGGGGATCAGAGCAAAAAGAGTGGCCCACCCAATCTGTTTGAACAGGTCGATGGGTCCCTATTGGGGGAGCCTATACCACCCACCTGACTGAACCAGTGAGGCTAGAGCTAGCGAATCACTGGGAAGTAATTCGATTCGTAATAGCCTCCAAAATGACAGACACAGTTATACTGGGACTCTCCTGGCTAGACAAGTGGGGACCGACCATTTGGTGGCAAGGGAGTAGCCGCATACTGAGGATAGCAAGGGGACCCCAACCCCCTCCATGCTAGCAGATAGAAACACTGCCCATGCAGGGAACCCTCCCAAAAGGCCCACCAAAACAACTGGCAGGCACCTCCAACAAAACCCAAGAGGCCAAGCAGATCCCAAGGAAATATCCGGTCCTCACGGAAGTATTCAGTGAGGCTGAGTGTGATGTCCTACATCCCCACTGTGAGACAGACTGCGCCATAGAAATCATCCACGGGGCAAAACTACCCAAGCCCAAACTGTACGCCAGGACGCCCCGAGAAATGCAAGAAATGCACAAATACATAGACAAAAACCTAGCAAGGGGGTTCATCGAGCCAGCCAAACCACAGGTTGCATCCCCAGTCTTGTTCAAAGAGAAAAAAGATGGAACTATGAGATTATGCATGGATTTTAGAGGCATAAACTGTATGTGTGTACACAACCTATACCCCCTCCCGTTCATGAAGGACATGCTATCTCACTTGGCCAAGGGGAAAGGTCTTTACCAAATTAGATCTTAGAGAAGCATACTACAGAGTACGCATCAGGGAGGGAGATGAATGGAAAAAGCATTCAACTGCCCCCTAGGAAGCTTCCAATTCAAAGTGATGCCTTTTGGTCTGCAGGGGGCCCCAGTGGTGTTCATGCAGTTAATAAACGAGGTGCTCCTCTATAAGGGGGTTCTCGTTTACCTGAACGATATCCTCATCTACACTGAGACCATGGACGACCACATACCCCTGGTCCACCAGGTACTGGAAAAACTTCTGGCAGTCAAGCTATCAAAATGCGAATTCCACCACGCAAGGCTAGACTACCTGCGCTACCGAGTGTCAAATGAGGGAATAGAGATGGATCCAGCCAAAGTACAAGCCGTCCTAGGCTGGCAGGCCCCTTGCACCCACAGACAGATACAAAGCTTCTTAGGGTTCGCAAACTTCTATCGGCAATTCATCCCCTCCTTCGCAAGGATTGCCAAACCCATGACGGACCTCCTAAAGACAGGGAGCCCAGGAATGAAACCCCACACAGTGGTCAGCCAATGGGAACTGTTTCGTGACTAAGAAACAGCAACTGTTGTGAGCCAGACGGCTTGGAGACTGGGCGTGGCTTAGGGTTACTGGTCTGTATATAAGTTAGTTTGTCCTTGGATCTTTGCTTCTCTGTATTATATTGCTTCTGTGATTATGACTTCTGGATTCTGAGTTCTGGTTCTGGGTATTGTATACATGCATCATACTTTATATTATTGTATATAAACACGTTTCTTCTATAAATGAATCCTGCTGAATTATTTACTTGTGTGCTGGTGTGCTGCAAACTGACCGTTTCCAATGTTCTTAACAGCAGTTATAAGTATATTTCAGCCTCTCTAAAGTTATATCATATTGTTCTTCTTTCCTAATAGGAAGGCATTTAGGAGTATTTTCCTGAAGCTATACTAGTGCAAATTAATGTTTGTATCTTCTTTAATCATTTAATTTGAAATTCAGATAACTAACACAGGGGTGTCAAACTCAAGGCCCACAGGCTGCACCTGGCCTGCAGGGTGCCTAGATCTAGCCCGTGGAGTCACCCTGGAAACAGTGAAGGACTGGCCCGCAGTGCCTCTGCTAGCAAAAACAGAGCCCTAACCCTAACCCCGATACAAGAGATGTCAAGCTGGCCACTCCCACCCTGGCCATGCCCATCCCAGCTCCCCAAGGTCAAACACAACCCTGATGAAAACGAGTGTGACACCCCTGATCTAACGTATCTATTTTTATAAATTAATACACATGTACATTTGAATAATAGCATATATAGTCAATATTAAATAGTCAATATTTGAAAAAAGAACCATATAGGAGAAGTTTTCAGTTAATACACAATGTCACTTGACAACCAAAGTTTGGTTTATTGACAAAAATTCTTTCTATTATCTTACCGATTTCTGATTCAATTCATCACTTAGTAGTTCATGTTCTTTTATCTTGGCTTCAACTTCTTGTGACTTTTGATCATAGTTGACAGCAAGTTCCTCAAGGGCTTGGAGAACTTCTTTTACTTCCTCTTTAGAAGCATCATTTTCAGCTTGAAGGCGATTCAGTTCAGCTTGCATATTGTCTTGGTCCCACCTGGTGGATGCTAGAAGCTATCAGAAAAGTACCATCAATAAATATTTTTAAAAGCTGTTTCTTAAAACTATAATGAATATATTATAGTATATTATAATATATACTATAATATATTATAGTATAATATATTATTAATGTAATTGTTAGTGTAAGGTATACCTATACAATTTATTTTAATGCTCTATAATGACACTGCTATTTTAAATCTTGTCAGGCACTAGATATTTACTGTAGAGTTCTCCATTCAGTGATTCACTACCTAGGTCAATAGAAATCCTTTAGAAACCAGTATCCTAATAAAAATATAGGTAAGAGTTAATAAGCTATGAAATATTGACACCATGCGCTACATTTTGTACCTTAATAACAGTAATAACTTTTTACAATAAGCAACGCATTTATTTTGCACCATTATGTTTTTCTGTTCATAATATATAAACAGTAGTAATACTCACCTCTTCCTGATCCAACATCTGTGTTTTTAGTTTTTCTACTAATTGGCTTTGTTGATTGATTTCTTCATCCTGCATAAAAAAGGGGAAAGAAAATTCTTTACTCATTAAAACATTGTTCTTTAATCCTGTTTGACATAAAGACTCTTTCAAATCTAAAAGGACTCTTCAATGCCGTTTGATACAGGTAGTCCTCAACTTATGACCAAAATGGAGCCCAAAATTTATGTTAAGTGAGACATTTAAGTGAGTTTTGCCCCATTTTACAACCTTTCTGTTTCCCTGAAAATAGGACCTCCCCCAAAAGTGGGCCCTATCACCTTATTGGCTCATGCGCGAAATGTAAGCCCTACCCCCAAAATAAGACCTATTTAAGCACGTGCAGCTGGTGCCCGCCATTTCCTTTAGTTACCTGCAGTAACTAGAGGGGGAGAAAGAACTGCCTAAATTGCTGCAGCCAAACAGCTGATCTGCCGTTTTGGGAGCCGGCATGTCTTTGCTAAACAGAACTGCCTCTTGCTTTCGGAGCATTAATTTCCTCCCCGAAACAGCTGATTTGCCAGAGCCGGCATGTCTTTGCTAAACAGAACTGCCTCTTTTACAAACTTTCCAGCCAGTTGTTAAGTGAACCAGCTGGTAACCCCCCACTGCAATGTCTTTGCCAAACAGCAGATCCCAAACCATACATTGACAGGGTGTCAAATGGTCAAGATGAGAAGCTTGGCAACTGATCCATACCTTTTGCGGCCTCCTGACAAGAAAAGTCAATGGGGAACTTAACAATGGGGGGGTTACCAGCTGGTTCACTTAACTGGCTGGAAAGTTTGTAAAATAAGGCAAAACTCACATTTGCAAATCCCAACCACCGCTCCAGGCCTTTGAGTTAATGGGTTAATGGATTTACGTATTGATTTAAAGTGAATTTTTTAAAAAAGTTTTTTATTTTATTTTGAAACAAACAAACAAACAATCCATCATTCATTCAAACTGTTGTCTGGGTACAAATATTGTGTGCAATAATAATTAGAGTTTACATATATTCATTATGTTGATATTCTCTATTCTTGCTTAATACTGATATACATATGTAATTATTGTAGTCGTTCCGATCTTAACATATTTAATTCTATTAACATATTGTCTATACTTCACTAATCTTTGTTGATTTCTTTTTTTTTTAACAAATTTTATTAATTTTCAAAGACAATACACAAACAAACAAAACATAAAACATAAAAACATAAAACATCTTTTCTGAAAGCTGCTTGATCCCGGGTTACATCTCTTCATACAGACACAAAGTTCCGGTTTGCAGCGCTTCGGGGCAGGCAGGAATACGCGATCGTGCGCGGTTTCTGCCTGCGCTCGCCGCTGGAGTGCCCTGAGCTATCCGGCTTCAGGGCTAGCCACCTCCGTAGAAGGTGGTGAAGATAGGGGGGATCTGGCAGGGTCGGGAGAAATCATACCTCTCTTCCCTAGCCGGCTAAACCCCCTTTTCCGAAGGCGGTAGAGCGGCGGTCAGAAATGGCCGCCACAAAGAAGCGCTCAGCCGGAAAAGAAAGTGCAGGAGGAGCTAGGAAGAAGTGAAAGTTTTTTTGCTGACCGGGACAAAGCAATAACGAAGGTATCCTGGATTTTAAATTTGCAAAAGATACATCGTTCCCAGAGACTTACAAGCGGCGGATGAAAGTTAAAAGTTCTTTTTTTTTCACTCTCCTTCCTAACGTTGACAGCGAACAGAAAGAAATCAGAAAAACCCGCTTTGGATCAATAGGTAACTAAACTGGATAACTAAATGTCAAAGGGATAATAAGGATTTCTGAACATTTTTTAAAAAAATATTTTTTTGCTGTAAGTGGGAAGGGAGAGGAAAAGAATTGGAGCAGGATTTGGAAGCAAGGAGGAGATTGCCTAGAATTTTAAAGAATCATTAAATACCAACGAGACTTCTAAAAGATACATTTTAACTTTGCAACTAAACAGTAACCCCAGAAAGAGAAAGTGAAGAAAGAAGAAAGTGCTAAAAGAAACAGCTTATTTGGACTGTTTGGTGACTTTGGGACTTTTGGAAATGAACTTCTTGTAGACAAATTATATCCAATTTTACTTTTTCTAGTTTACTAAAAATTCTTTTCTTTTTTATTGCAGAGTTCAGTCCATTTATGTTAATTGACAGTAATTTTGTCTCTTCTTCCATGTTTTTACTTATAGATGGGATTTGCTGTTCTAGTCGTCCTTGCCTCTCTTGGTTCTTTGGCCCTTGCTCCTTCTCTTATGGTTCTTTCCTCCAAAACTCTTTCAACCTCTTTTTGTTGTATTTCCTTCTCTCGTGCAGTTTCTTCTTGGCTTCTAATCTCCTTTTCCTCCCTCACTCTCTCTTCCTCCTGTGGTCCCAAGTAATTATCATAAAATTGTTCCGCCTTCTCTATTAAGTCTAGTCTATGTCTCTGCTCCTGCCAAGTTACCAATATTTCCTCTGGTATCAGCCATCTAAAGTTCACTCCATTTTTAATTAAAGTTTTTGTCAAAAACTGATACTTCTTCTTTAAATCTCTAACTCTTCTTGGAATTTGTTTTAGGACCACTATCTCTTTTCCTTTATATTTTAAGGGATCATCTCTCGCTGTCTACATGATCTCTGTTTTTAAACCTCACATGAACGTCTCTGGGGAGCTTGTTTCTCCTTGCAAATCTGGTATGTACTCTAAACACTTCGTCCCTCTCTATCAAGATTTTTTCCCTAGTTACCTCCAGGGCCCCTGCCAATATCTGTCATTATCTCTGCTAGGTTTTTTACCCTTTTCTTCCATATTTTGAATTCACAAATAAAAATCTGCCTTGTCCATCTCTAACACTATTATTGTCCTTTCTTTGCTCTTATCTGCTTGTGTCAATCTATAATCAAGTTCTCCCACTCTTTTCTGTTGATTTGGCTCTCTCTTCTACTTTTTGTATACGTTGTTCATTTTTTGCCATCATTTGTTGGAAGATCTCTATTTTTCCTTCTACCTTCTTTATTTTCCCTTCCATTTTCTCTATTCTTTCTTTCGTGTCCTCATGAAGCGTTTGTATCATTCTGCTTGCTGTGCATTTGCTTTTTCTTGAAGTAGGGCGTCCAAGGTTCTTTGGCCCGCAGGGCTGGAGGCTGCCAAAGAAGATTCTGAAAATGGTGTGGATGTAGTTTTCTTCATTTTAAAATATTTCAGTATTTATAGTCCCCAACAGTTAAAAATATTTCCTTTGTTATCCCAGAAAGTTATAATCCAAAACCAGGTTTTATCACTATTTAGAGCTTTTTCTTTTCTTCGGGTTCTTCAAACCCTAATCTTATAGGAAAAAAATAATATAACAATAATTTGTAATCCAAGTAGGCCCACCAAACCCAGGGGTTCCACCACCAGCAGGTTTATGTCTAAAGGGAGAGTTCACAGAGCAAGAAAAAAAATGAAGAAAAAAAATCCAGGCAGAAGGACAATATTCAGCTTCTGTTGACTTTATCTGTTTGCTTTCATTTAAGTTCTGAGAGCTACACTTTTTTAAAAAAAGCAAAGTCCCAGTGTTCTGTTCTCTATTTTATTTCTTCAGTCAAAACAGCCTCTTATCATGCTTCAAGACTATGTTTATCAATCAGAATAATTTCCCCTTCAATTTTCACTTCTGCCATTAGATGGCACTGTTTGCTCTGCTTCTCCCTTCTTTCTCTTTTGTATGCTGTATATCGGGTAAAAGTTTTCAAATTGTAAAGTAAGATAATAAAATGTTTAAATATATTTTTAAAAAAGTTCCATATAGTTTTTTATGTTATCCAGAAGTTCTAAGTTGGTGTTATATTCTTTTTGAAATACCTAGTCCAGCTTCTTAAATAGATTCTTTCAACAAGTCCTTTAAGCCGTTTCCTCTTCTAGTTAACAACTCTCCTCACAGCTTTTCTTACGGAAGTGGAAGAAAGAAAAACAATTCCACCTCCTCCTTCAGGTCTCACTTCCCCTTAATTGTATTCCAGGGAGCTCTTTCTTCTATCTGTTCTTAAGTATTCAATTCAATAGTATCTCACCCAGTCCGATCACACCATCTTCTACTTTCACTTTCTTTCTGGTGGCTGCCCCAGCTTCGGAACGGCTTGCAATGGCTGTCTTCTCTGCTGCCAGATTGGAGAGCCTTCTCCAGACCGATCAGAGAGTTTGCGGGCTCCCTGCGATCAATGGAATGTGCCCTCTACAATCATCGCCCCTCCAAGGCGATTTAGGTCCATTAGGACCCCTCTAACAGCTGGATATTGACAGTCCCCACAGAGTTCTCTGTGAGGCACGTAATGCTGTGGCATCAGCCCCGCCTCCTCCTGTTCCTTTTTTATTTCCATTCCTTTTATCTCCATATCTTGTCTAACATTTCTATTTAGTACTTCTAATGTCAATACAAATAATAGTGGCAACAAGGGACATCCTTGTCTTATTCCCTTTTTGATGTTAACCTTTTCAGTCATGTCTCCATTTACCATTACCTTTGCAGTTTGTTTATGATATATTGCCTTAACCATCTTAATAAATCTCTCCCCAAAATCCGTATTTTTCAATTGCACTAGCATAAATTGTCAGTTCACATTGTCAAACACCTTCTGTGCGTCTAGGAAAATCAACGCCATTTGCTTCTCTGGGTGTGCTTTGTAGTATTCCAAAGTGTTCAAGATTATTCTCATATTATCTTTAATTTGTCTCTTAGGTAAGTGAATGTTTATTTTGACCCCCTCCAGAGAAGTTGACCATGTGACACCCTGTCAACGTATGGCTTGGGATCTGCTATTTAGCAAAGACATTGCAGGCTCTGGAAGATCAGCTCTTTCGTGGAGGCCATGGTGGCACTAGGTGGGAGGGGCAGCTTGCTGGCCCATTCCCGGCAGGGTAAAAAAATGGGGGAAAATATAAGACCTCCCCGAAAATAAGTCCTGGTGCATTTTTGGCAGCCCCCAAAATATAAGACCTAGTCTTATTTTCGGGGAAACATGGTAGCTGCAGCTGTTAAGTGGATCATTGCAGTTGTTAACTTAGTAACATGGTGGTTAAGTGAATCTGGCTTCCTCACTGACTTTGCTTGTCAGAAGGTAGCAAAAGCTGTTCACAAGACCCCAGAACACTGCAACTGTCATAAATATGAACCAGTTGCCAAGCATCTGAATTTTGATCACATGACCATGGGGATACTTCAACGGTCGCAAGTGTGAAAAAAGTCACTTTTTTCAGTGCCGTTGTAACTTTGAATGGTCACTAAATGAACTGTTGTAAGTCAAGGGCTACCTGTATAGGATGGAACAGTTATATCACATTTGTTTTGTTGTAACAGGAATAGTAATTACACACTAGATCTGACCCAATCTTTGTAGATGACCAAAGTAGTTCTTTAGATTAGATCCTGTCAGACTTTCAGAATGTGGATGCTCAGTTCAAAAACATACAAAAATATACATGCACCTCATTTGATGGTATGATGTATAGAAATATTCATCTATATCTATATTTGCCATTTAGTATTAATGGCAATAAGATGGGACTGCCAAAGTACAGATCAATTGTGTAGGAGATGACCAGGCTGAGCCCAAGGGAGGGATCAAGCACGTCATCAGTTTGGAGTCTCTTTGTGCCCACAAGAGAGCCCTCCTCGAATTCCATTGACTCTTATCTACCGCAAATTTGCCTTGACCATTAGTAGTTCAGAGTCTTGTTTAGAGACAGTATGGAATAAACTTGCACTCATTTGAATAACCCTGGTTCCTGATTTCTTGAGCATGACAAATTTAAATTTTATCTCTAAATTTTCAAAACAGCATGCACTGAATAAATTGAATCAAATTAATTTGAGTGATCAATACTTTGCAATCATTCATTCCATTTTCCCTGTCAAGCACAATTTGGTCTTTGATACATTCATTTTCACATCCATGCTTATCATTACATCATACAATCTATAATTCATCCCAAATCATTTAAAAAATCAGAATAATTTGCATACATACAGCCTCCAATATCTTTAACATTAGGGTAGCCATACTCCTAGTCCCTTCCCATAAATATTGCCATCTGATGGGAGCTAGGGAGCTTTTTCATGGCCATCCCTACCCTGTGGTGAACTTTATCCCCTGAAGTTCAGCAGGCCTCTGCCTTCTTAGCTTTCCATAAAGCACAGAAGACCTGGCTAACCTCAAGTGCTAGGATAAGACTGGATATAGTTGCACATTCGAAGGTTGACCTGATACCAGGTCTTTCTTGTTTTTAACATTTTAATATGTTTAGTTTTATCATTTTAATACAATTTTATGTTGTTTTAATTTTGGATTGGGCACTGCCCAGAGTTGATTAGAAGATGGGTGGCTATATAAATGTTTTAAATAAATAAATTACTACAAGCATTTACATTTACATTATACACACACACACACACACACACACACACACATATATATACCTTGACTCATGCCCTGCTCAATGTTGAAGCACTCACTAGGTGTTCCATTTGTTTGCATTATATACCACTTTAATTAGGGGACGCGGTGGCTCAGTGGCTAAGACGCTGAGCTTGTCGATCAGAAAGATCAGCAGTTTGGCGATTCGAATCCCTAGCACCATGTAACAGAGTGAGCTCCCATTACTTGTCCCAGCTTCTGCCAATCTAGCAGTTCGAAAGCATGTAAAAATGCAAGTAGAAAAATAGGGACCCCTTTGGTGGGAAGGGAACAGCATTCCGTGTGCCTTCGGCATTTAGCCATGCTGGCCACATGACCACGGAGACGTCTTCGGACAGAGCTGGCTCTTCGGCTTTGTAACGGAGATAAGCACCGCCCCCTAGAGCCAGAAATGACTAGCACGTATGTGCGAGGGGAACCTTTACCTTTACCTTACCACTTTAATTATATTCAGTAACCAAAACCAACCTTCGAATCCCACTTTCATGCAAAAGGTCATAATTCAAGTATGGTTACTTTATTGTACAGTATGTTTTCTCTAAATCAACAAATGTACAATATATAGCTTGTCATACGTACCTTGTCATCTAACTGTTTATACATTTTGGCCATTTCTTCTTCATACTTTCTCCTTTCAGCTTCACCAAAATTGCCAATTACTCCAGTAGTAGCAGTTAAGGTATCATTAATAATTGCAATATCTTTATCCACAGCAAATGCTTCCAAATTAACCTTTTCCTTTTCAAACTGTTCCCCAAGAGGTACAGTCTCTCCTTTTAAACAGAAATTCCCAAGGAAGTAATTATTTTCAGGAAGAAAATGTTAGAAACTGACTCAACTTTAGACAAACATTTATATCATGAACATTTTACTGAAAGTTCATTATTCATATTTACAGTAGCAATCTTGATACCCACAAAATATTACCTTTCTGGACTGAATACAAAATATCAGGGGTCCCCAACCCCCAGCCAACTACCAGGCCTTGAGCCTTTTGGAACCAGGCTGCAGAAATGGTGGGTGTGTGCAAGCATGCACATCCCCATTCACAGAAGCAGTAGGCAAGTGTGCGTGTGCATGTGCACTCCATTTGCACGAGTGGTGGGTGCGTGTGCCTACCACTTGCGCAAATGGAGCTCCAAGTGCACGTGCTTGCCCACCACTTGCACGAAACCATCCCCTCCTCCTTCCGGTCCGTAAAGCCAAAAAGATTGGGGAACTCTGGTCCATATAATGCACAGTTCAAATTTAAAACAGTTTAGTATTAGAACATAATGTCATTGATACTTTGATCTCTTCATAAGCCTTCAGCCTAATCAACATATTTATTTATTTATTTATTTATTTATTTATTTGAATGTTTAGCTGCAGCACTGTAGAGAATTTTAATTTCAATGCGATGCTGAAAAAAGCCCTTTTGATAAGAACAATTGTAAAAGGTTGAAAATACCTTACATTCCTATTATATTATATGAGCTATTTATAAGCAAAAGCTCTGGTCATGCCATTTTACATTTAATAAAAATGATCACAGTACTGAAGACTAAGAGTAACTCACCATTGCGCCATCTATTGACCTCATTTTCAAGCCACAGAATAGTGTTACGCAGTGTTTTGTTTTTCTCTTTCTCTTTTTCATATTTTTTCTTCCACTGTTCTGCAGTTAATTCTACATTAATGCACACTGTATTCTTGATAGTCTTGGCTCTATAAAGGCAGATTAAAAGTTAACTAAATATAGGGTTGTTTAAACTGTATAGAATATTTCAATGCTAATCTTCAACCCCAATCCCTTTTCTGAATAATTAAAACGTACGTATTTTTGTCACCTTTATGTAGCTTCACAGCATGGCACATTATATCTAGTTCATCATTTACATGATTGTAAGAAACAGAAGCTCAAGACAGTTGCATAGCAGAAAACAACACCAGTTGCAAATAGGAGTGTGACAAAATAAGCCAGATTAAAAAAAAACTTTGGTTGAGAAGGCTAGGTATCTCACCTATAATTTTGTATCCCAATAACACATCAATTTCTATCTGTAATGGTTTATAATAATTGAGACAAGGAACTTACAGAATGAAATACTGACAAGCTTTAAGAAAGATATTTTAGAGAAATAGACATTAAGCAAAGTTACACATGCACATATGATTTATGTACACAACTGCTCAAAACCCGCATCAGAGAGACTTTGTGGAAGTCAAAAGTCTGTGTCGATGTAATCATTCTGCTTTTACAATCTCACTCTTAAGATTGTTCACTCACCTCTGACCAAATAACAGTGTAGATTTTGTTTCAGATTCATTGTAAGATGATGGGGAGCAGCAAATAACAATTGTGGTTCTACAATTGCCTCCTAACGAATCTTGTAAAATTCTGGTCATTTTACTATCTCGATAAGGTACATATGTCTGCAAGTAAGAAAAAGCTTTTTTTACTTTACTGTACTATAGACAGGTGAGAATATTCTGTACTTTTCCAAACCAATAACCATTTAAGTTTTCAGTATGGTATTTTCAACCAGGAGGTTCTATGTTGTAATTATGCATAACGTAATTGAGCACAATTATTGAAATATTCAACACATACTAAAACAGTGAAGGGAATTAACATGAGTGTAACACATTTCATGGCTGAAATTAAGCAATTTGCATCAAGCATTTATAAATCATTGACATACTTACACTATTTTCAGCTAAAGCAGAAATAACATTCCCAAGAGCTGACAGAGATTTGTTGATATTTTTAGCCTCATCCAATACTGCACCTTCTGCTCCAGTTTTACTAACCTAAGACAATGTGAAAGGTTGTATGTCTAATCAATATGTATTCAATAAATGTTGGATTGTAGCTATAAAGATACCTGTAATATAGCATTTGCCTTTCCCACTTAAATACTTTCCCCCATGTATCCCCATCCCAAACCAGTTCCTAGTGATTTTTCAAAATTATGGAGAATCTGCAAAAGCTATATCTAAGTCACATGTCATTTTAAAACAAATGTTTAGAAGAGGAATATTGCAAGTGTGTAAGTAGCCCATATTAAAATGCAGTATTAAAATTAGAAAAGGAGTCAACCAAGAACTCTAGAAATGTGTTATATACAATATATTATAAAACAATGCAACATGAAACAGCTATTTACAGGTAGTTCTTGACTTATGATTACTTTTTTAATGATGGTCCAGAATTATGATGGCCTCAGAAAGGGTGCTTGACAGCACGTAAAACATTTCCAGCCATCTCAAAACATTGCACTCTCACAGTCACATGATCAAGATCTGGATGCTTGTTCACCCTGTTCACAACCAGTTGACAAGTGGCGTGCAATCATGTGATCGCCATTTGCAATCTTTTCTGCCAGCTTCATCAGAAAGTCAAGGGGGAAGCTACCAGGGAAGGTTGCAAATTGCAAGCTGCTATCACCAAGAGGACACCCTCTCATTTCTGGTGGATGGCTGAAAGAGCTGCCTCCTGAAGGGAGCCAAACTCCTTCAGTGGGTTGTAGAAATGGAGCTGAAAAGCTGAAAATTTCACCCTTGTTCCTTCACCCTGCCAAAGGAATTCTCTTCCATGGCCAGAGAGGAGTTGAAGTTCTTTGGGAGGCAGCTCTTTCAGCCAGTCAACATGGTTAAGGAGAATACTGTGCTTGAGGCAGGTAAGGGTGGCCCAGCACAGGCCATGCACGAGTGCCTTTTCATTCAGGAGCTGAAAATTCTGCTTGGATTTTGACAGGATTTTCAGCTCCAGATTGGTGTCTCCCTGACCCTCCTGAGGTACTCCATATTCCTTACCTGGGACCTGCTTAATGGCCTGCACAATGGCTTAACAACCATTGGGAGTGCCCAAGATTACAGTTGTTGGGTGAAGCAGTCATCTGCTAAATGACATCTCATTTAATGACCACTTTGCTCAATGACCAAGATTCCAGTCCCAATTGTGGTAGTAAGTTGAGGACTACCTGTATTTCTCCCAATTTTGTCAATGATTATTATAAACAATCCCACTGTATAGGTAATTGTGTATCTAGATCCAACAACAACACAGAACCTTATAACATTTTAAAGATCTACTGATGTAGTACAAGGTCAACATGAATTAGGTTTCCCCATACAGTCAGAAATAAAAATAAAAATAATAAACAACAGTGGCAAATATCTGTAGCTCGGGTATAGGATGAGAATGAAGGTTCATTCTTTGAGCTTGTGGGTTGGTTTCCAAACATTTCATTGCCAGGTAATATCTTCAGTGGAGTTTAGGAGATGTCACTGTTCTTCTGTTTATAAGGGCTTCATGAGGTCTTGTGATGGGTCTTGTGATGGAGAGGGTACATCAGGTGAGGGTCATTGGGAGGTGAAGTGCCGGTTGGGGGGGGCTTGTGTGGGTTGGTTGAGGGTCAGTCCTGTCTCTGGTTAGCTGTACGGTTGGATTCTAAGGGGTTTGTATGTTGGTTGTAGGTCAATGTGTCTGTTGATGGAATTGCTTGTGGAGTGCCAGACTTTGATGAACTCACGAGTGTGGTGGGTGGTAGCGGGGCCAATGTTTTTTATGTTGCTCCAGTTGAAATGGTGCTGTTTGGTTTCAGTGTGGGTAGAAATTAAGGATTTGGGATTGTGGCGTTTGACTGCCAGCCGGAGTTTGTGGATCCTGGCTTTTAATTGATGTGTTGTTTGTCCCATGTAGAATTGGTTGCAATTGTTACAGTTGATTTTGTAGATTACATTGTTTCTTTCATCCTTCTGTATCTTGTCTTTGGTTCTGGATAATTCTTGGCGGAGTGTGGCTACACTCCACCAAGAATTATCTAGAACCAAAGATAAGATACAGAAGGATGAAAGTGTTATGACCCAGGTGGTCAAGGCAAGGCAGGCCTCTAGATAATTCTTTATTTCTCTCAACAAATGTTCCAGGCAACAGCCCTCCAACAACCAGTAAGGCTCCACCCCCACATTACCCTGAAGGCAGCCACCCTCAGTCTCCCCAACACAGCCCTGGTAGTACAAAGAAAGCCCACAGAGTAGGAGCACACTCACAGGGCAAGGTCCAGGGTTCCAAGTCCAATCCACTAGGCAGAGTACAAGCACAAGACAATGGCAGTCCTCTGGACAAGGAACAGGTCCCAGGCAAGAAGCAGTTCCAAAGGCACAGTGAAGCAAAGGCCAAATGCAGGCGACAGGAGAAGGGCTAGGTCCAAAACAAAAGAGCAATCTTCCAAGAGAGGCAAGCAAACAGCAACAGGCACAAGTCAAAGCCAGGGAAGTGTAAGCCAAAGCAAACAATTGTTCCTGGCAAAGACTAACTCACAAGGCTTCTCCTTAAGCTACCCCCCTTCAGGTGTTCCTTGTGAGGAGGGATGGGGCGACCTCCTCCCAAGTAGCCTTCCAGACCTTCTCTGAGCTTGCCTATGCTCCACACTCCTTGCCCTTGGATCAGTGAAGTAGGCAGCTGTTCCACATCAGAGGGGATCTGCTGCCTATCAGCACCACTGTCGGTCAGAGGCCAATCCTCTCGTGTCTCTGCAGGCAGGCAGCTCTCTGTCTGGTCGACCACCTCCCCCAATACCTGAGGGGCCCGGGACAGCATCATCCTCAGCCCCTGGCATGCCTTCCCTGTCAGACAGTCCCAGTTCCAACTCCTCCTTCTCCTCCTCTGAACCGGGCTCTGATGGGGCCATGATAGAAAGAAACATTGTAATCTACAAAGTCAACTGTAACAATTGCAAGCAATTCTACCTGGGACAAACATTATGTCAATTAAAAACCAGGATCCATGAACACCAGCTGGCAGTCAAACGCCACAATCCCAAATCCTTAATCTCTACCCACACTGACACCAAACAGCACCAGTTCAATTGGAGCAACATAAAAATCATCAGCCACACTCCCACACACCACGCTTGTGAGTTCATCTAAGCCTGGCACTCTACAAGTAATTCCGTCAACAGACACAACAAGCCTACGAACCCCAGAATCCAAATCTTGTGATGGAGAGGTTAACCAGCTAACCAGGGACAGCACCGACCCTCAACCAACCCACACAAGCCACCCCACCAGCACTTTACCTCTCAATGACCCTCACCTGATATAACTTCCCCATCACAAGACTCCCACTGATGACTTCCACGTGACCCATCACAAGACCTACTTGACCACACGAAGCCCTTATAAACAGAACAGCACTGACACCCCCTAAACTCTGCTGAAGATGTTACCTAGCTTGGTAATGAAATGTTTGGAAACCAACACACATGCTCGGAGAAGGAACCTTCACTCTCATAATAATAAACATAGCCATATTGTTGACTGCATTCCTCAGTTGTGAATGGGAGTCATTCAAAGATATCATGATATGATAAGGCTACTTGCTGGTGTGTTGCATATTCTTATCATTAAACTAAATAAACAGCTCTAACAAAGAAAATAAATGTTCTGTGAATTGCCCTCTTATCCCCAAATGACAAAAATTCCCTTGTCCTAGAGTAGGAATGTTCAGCCCATGGGCCACATGCAGCCCTGAAGAGCTAGTAATGCGGCTGCACAAGATTGTAAACTTTTAAGATTATTATGTGATATATTATTATATAGTATAAAAATAGTATAGTTTATATGCAGCCCAAGACAATTCCTTTTCACTCAGGCAAGCCAAAAGATTGGCTATCCATGTCCTAGAGAATGGGAGAAGAATTATATTCTGAATGCCTCAGATGCACTTTTCTATAATATATTCAGGGGAGGTGGGGAGAGACTCAATGTTGAAAGAGATAAATGATACCTTATTTACATGTTCTTTCAAAACTTTAAAGTGTTACCTTTTCACTACCTGCCAAGTCTACAAGATAAAGCTTTCCACTCAATTTCTGCTCTGTTTGAGTGTTTTCTTGCTTTACATTAATGAGAAAGATGCTATGACTCCGAGAGCTATGTTCATTCATATCTGTAAAAGAACAGTTTTAAAGCTTTATAAATGTCCATTCTGGCAACAGTCTTTACTGTTGAATTATAAGTGTCTCATAAATCAAATCAGAATAAATCAAATAACAACAATATATTTTTTTATGAAAGAACTGTACCAAATCTATGAAACTAAATCTTTCATTTTTAAAACCATATTTATTTGCCATTGCAATTGGGAAGGAATTAAAAAATAGAGACTCCTTGTGACTATCTAGACAACACCACAGAAGAGACTTGCTTTTTCCCTCATAAGGATGGATGGATTAGATTCAGGATAGGATAGGAGAGACATCAGACAGTTGTATGGTTCTTAATCAGTCTTCCACACCCTTGTGTCCTTCAATATATTGGATTATACATCCCACAATTTATAATCTGTGTATGTAAAAGACCCATAGCCTGCAAATCTCCCTACTAGCGGATAACTCTTCCTAGGAGGAAATGGAAAATCACTGCTCTGTAATTACTGAAATTGTTACAGAGATTGACATTTTCTTGAAGGAAAAGGCTTCTAATTAAAGAAAAGACTATTCTTTTGGACTTTTTGCTTGAAACTGAAATAAATTTTAATTTTGGAATTTGATGACTTTTTTCTTATTTCCTTTTTTCCCTTATTACTTGCATATTCTGCCTCATTAACTTTTTCCTTTTCAAGTTTTTTTTCCATTTTTTTATATTTTACCTTTTGCAGAATTTTTTAAAAGGATATATAATTTACTTATCCACTGGAAAAAGTACTAATTATTAGAGTAACCTGGCTTCTTAAAAATTAAACTAAAACCACTTACTTGTAACTGCTACATGCCTGTTTGATTTTCCTTCATCTATAGTATCCATAACTTCTTCTGGACTACACACAAAACGTTCAGTGCAGCCCTGTGAAAGTTTATTTTAACATAATCAGTAATTAAATAAATTTTTATCTATTTTACTGTTCACATTTCTGAACAACCCATCTCCCTCTGCTTCTAAAGGATGCAAGATATATACTCAAATCTTATACTCACCTTTACGTAAGGTACTCGGTTTTTGTCCTCATGAACAGAAAGGTTGGTCTTTGAGACTAAAACGGAAAAGCAATTACAACAGTCAATATTTTCTCATTAAATAGATTTTAAATTCCTTAGCTTTCTTCTCTAGGAAAAACTCTATTCCCATGAATTTTACATTTTACACATTTCCCCAATCACTTTGTTAACAATCATTTTACTAAGTTGAAGTGACAACCATTCAAACTGCAGCTTTACAATTTATACAATGGCATTATAGTATTTGCCACACAGGGCTGGCCTACCCTCTTCAAAATTCTGGTCAATTTTAGCTTTCATTACTAGCCTTTTGTATTCAATACAGTACAAGTAGTTCTCACTTAACAACTGCAATTGGGATTGGCAACTCCATCACTAAGCAACATGGTCATAAGTGAAACATCACATGACCACATGAGACCTGCATCAGTTCTGCTGCAGTCATTAAGTGAATCACCCATGGTCATTACGTGAAACATCACATGATCAAGACCTGGAAATTACTACCAGCTTCTCCACTAACTTTGCTTGTCAGAAGCCAGCTGTGAAGCTTGCAAATGGCAATCGTGTGACTGCAGTGTGCTGCAACCCTCTAAATTTGAGGAATGATCATAAATCTACTTTTCCAGCACTGTTAATTTCAGTGGTTGCTAAACAGGAAAGTTGTTAACCAAGAACTACCTGTACAAAACAATAATGTTACTATATAAAATATACTAAAGTCCTAGGCATTTTGCTACTAATCATGAATTTTGTCTACTACCTGTTTTACAAGGCCAAGACATAATTCCCCTTATCTGCCACTTTTTTAATTTAACAATCCACACACTATTAATATGTGGACATCATTGTCTTACTTCCTTATTTGTTAAATGGTATAATAATGTTTTAATGTTCTCTACTGTTTTTGTTTTTAAATGTTTTTTAAATTTTTAAGTGTAATATGTTTTGAACTGTAAGCCACCCAGTCATTTACTGAGATGGGCAGCTACAGAAATCAAATAAATAAATGAATGTCCCACTCTTAAACCTTTTTTTTCTTACCTACTTGTACATATTTCATTAGAGTCTCCAAACAATTCTCAATCACAGTAACAAACAATACATTTAAGATCAAGTTTGATTATGCTTTGTTTGCACGAAAAATGCCCCTATTCCTCCTCAAAAGAAAGAATAAACTCACCATCCAAAAGGTCCCTTATTTTATCCAGATAAATTTCAAAATATGATACCTAAAAGAATATGGCATATGAAAACAAATTTCTGCTATACAAAGTCATTAAAACTGAAATAATGTATGTATGATTCATTTATAAACCTGATTACAGTATTCAGAACCATTTTGATAGCTACTGTGTTACAAAGAAGCTCACAAAAATGTTAAAAAATTTAATTTTAAAAAAGTGGACCTGTGAGATTAAGAACCAATGTTTAGAAAATCAGAAATGATGCTGCATCTTAGCAAAGATGTCAGTAAAATTACACATCACTAGCTTATTGAAAATTTGTGAACTCAAGTACATGTACAAAACATGTACTTTTGTAAGACACTACTGATCTTTTATTCTCGGACCCCAAGAATACTTTCTGATTGGTTCTTAACAATGCATTCACTTTAACTCACAGTTAAGTAAAGTTTCATAAGAAAAAAAACACATGCTGAGCTATATTTAACCTCAAACTAAAGGACTGGAACAGTTGCACAATGAAAAATTGCATTGCTCTTATAATGTGAAATGCCCTGTATACCCTACATACCTCCAAATTACTTCAGAGGAGTCCTCAATCCTTCAAAAGCAACTCTGGATTCTCTTTGCTCTTGGATTCCACCAATGTGCCTACAGTGTCTCTACCACTAACAAATGTCTATTAAAATCTACTGAACACTGCCAAAAAACCCTCACAAAAACCTGAAATTCCAGAGAATGCCTAGTTTTTCAGCATTTCCATCCTCAGTAGTCTTTCATTAGGGACCCAGATGACCAAATCACTGTCAAAGGAATTCTGATTGTGGGGGTTTTTTCACCCAAGAATCCTGGCAAACTGCTTTGAGTTTACAAGACACATAAACAAAATTTAAAACTATTGAACACACGTAAGAGCCCTTATTAAGAATTATCTTGTAGCAATAACAGCATTAAACTGTTTTTCAACTCTTGTACCTTCTGGACAGCCAAAATCTACTCTGAGTTAATTTGAACAGGACTCTGGCTGTTAAGTTCCTATGAAGTTGCCTGAGGCACAGCTTGAATTTGGCCATGTTGATAAAGGAGAGTATTTGTACCTCAGGATTGAAAGGAGGGGTCCTTGCTGCTCTCTAAACTTGGTTGTTTATTGGAAAGATGTTTCATTATCCAAACTAGGTCTCTAAGAATCTCTAAGACCACCCCCACCAACACTGACAGGGCAAGCCACTACAATATAAATTGAGAGCAAACCCCACTCCCTTACTAGCACTGAAGATGTTGCCTAGTTTGGATAATGAAACATCTACAAGAAAACAACCAAGTTTAGAGAGCAGCAAGGACCCCTCAATTTTCATGCTGTCTCCAATCTACACGTTTTAGGGAAGGCTGTTGTGAACATGGCTGGGCTTCAACTTCGGAGGGCACTGGAGGAAGTGGACCCTTTTCAATTGGGTTCAAGGTCAGGACATAATACTGACATGGCACTGGTCAAACTTATGAATCACCTCTAACAAGATTGGGCATTGTTTGCCTGAACGCCACTTTTCCTTGTAGGCAAGACAGGATGGGTAATACTCTTCCTTATCTGCTTAGGACTGAGTCTGTGCAAAAAGCTCATTAGCTTAGCTCTGCCCATTCTGGGTGACTCCTTCCCAGTTTCGGCGAAGACAGTGCAACAGACTGGGTTGCCTCTAATAAAGGAAAAAGAAAACAAGAAAAACATTAGCAGGACACCACCCACCCCCCCGTGGTCCCAGGAAGGAACCAACCCCAGGGTGGGGCTGACCTGTCTTGCCTACAAGGAAAAGTGGCGTTCAGGCAAACAACGCCCATTTTCCCTTGTAAGGCTGCGACAGGTCAGGATGGGACATACCAAAGCAGGGTTGTCCTCAGGACAGTTAAGACTGGTCCTGGCTGGCACGGTCCGAAACGACTCGTTGGAGGACCCGTCTACCAAACGCCGCATCCGCTGAAGCGAAAGAGTCCAGGCGATAGTGACGGATGAAATGTGACAGTGAAGTCCAGGTGGCAGCCCTGCAGATCTCTTCCACCGACGCCTGTGCCGCCGTCGTAGCCGCACTACGAGTGGAATGGGCGGTGATACCCCTGGGAACTGGTAGGGACCTGCTGGAATAGGCTCGAGCTATGCATGCCTTGATCCATCTACTCACAGTAAATGGAGTAACTTTACCCCCCAATGAGGAAGGTTGGAAAGAACAAAACAGAGACTCCGTCCTGTGGAATTCAGTACGTTTAATGTATATTTTTAGAGCCCTGCGCACATCCAGAGTGTGCCAAGTCTTTTCCAACTCATGGACTGGATGAGGGCAGAAGTCCGGAAGGGCCAGCTCCTGAGCTCTGTGGAAGGAGGCGTTGACCTTTGGAATGAAGGCCAGGTCCAACCTTAAAACCACTCAATGAGGATGGAAAATGCAGAGGTCAGGATTAACCGAGAGAGCAATAAACTCCGAAACTCTCCTTGCCGAAGTGACTGCCACTAGGAAAGCCACTTTTAGAGTGAGATGAAGACTGTATTGACGAAGCAGCTCAAACGGAGGTTTCGTGAGAGACTTGGTCAGATCCCAAGTGGGGTACCTATGTACCATAGGAGGGCAAAGGTTGGTCACTCCTCTGAGGAACCTATGAACCCTAGGATGCTGAGCCAAGGAGTCCAACTTCCCACAAGTCAAGACTGACGAGATGGCTGAAACCTGCCTATGGAGAGTGTTGGGGGAAAGACCCTTGTCCAGTCCTGCCTGCAAAAATTCCAAAACTGCAGCCACCAAAGCTTGTAAAGGAGATATGTTGGACTTAACACACCAAGCTGAGAAGGATTGCCAGGTAGCTTCATAAATGCGAATTGTAGAAGGGCGCCTGGAAGCCTGAATGGTTTGGATAACCTTGTTGGAGAGTTCAGCCCTTTTTAAGATGCCCCACTCAATCGCCAGAGTGCTAGTTGTAGCCACTGGGGCTCCGGATGAGACAGGGACCCCTGGAGAAGAGAGACATCCTCCTCAGGAATCCGCCAAAGGGGGATCACTGAAAGGCACATCAAATCAGCAAACCAATGCCGGCGAGGCCAAAAAGGAGCCACCAATATGATAACAAGAGCTTTCGAATTACCGCTGGGATCAGAGGCAAAGGTGGAAAGGCGTAGAGCAATCCAGAAGGCCAGCTGCAACGTAAGGCATTAGTGCCTTCTGCTCCCTGGGAGAAATACCTAGTATAATACCTGGGGAGTTGGGCATTAAGGGGTGAAGCAAATAAATCCACCACTGGCAATCCAAACCTCCAGGAGATCTGATGAAATAGAGAAGGATGCAATTGCCATTCGGCAAGGTCAATGGTCGTCCTGCTGAGTAAATCTGCCTGTGTATTATCAGATCCAGAAATGTGCTCAGCTCAGATTGACTGAAGGTGTCGTTCCGCCCACCTGACCAGGGACTCAGCCTCTGTCATGAGGGAAAGGGACCTGGTACCACTTTGTCTATTAATGTGAGCTTTTGTGGCCACATTGTCAGTCATAACCAGGACATTGGACCCCGACACCTGGCCTAGAAACTTCCTCAGGGTCAAATGAACAGCTCAAAGTTCCAGCCAATTGATGCTGTGAGCCTGTTCCTGTTCAGACCATAACCCCTGGGCCCAGAGGGAACCTAGATGAGCACCCCAACCAGACAGGGAAGCATCTGTAGTAAGGACAAGGCAGGATTCCAGCTTGAAGGACTGACCCTTGGACATGGCCCTGGAAAGCCACCAATGGAAGGAAAGTAAAACGTGCTTTAACTTTCCTGGGGGAATGGCTGGACCCCACTTTCTGGAAAGGAAGCAAAAACCACTGAAGGGATCTGGTGTGAAGCCTGGACCAGGGAACAATTCCAATACAGGAGATCATTTTGCCCAAAAGCTGAGAAAGAAGGTCTAAAGGGACAGAACCCCTACTCTGAATGCTCCTAATCATCCCGAAGGCTGAGCAAACGCTCATGAGAAACACTTGACACACCCCCATGTCAATAATGGCCCCCAAATGAAGGAGACGTTTTGTAGGAGAGAAATGGCTCTTTTTCTCATTAATGGAAAACCCCAGGTTCTGCAGAACTGAAATTGTGACCTGCAGATCCTGCTGAGCACTGCGAAAAGAAGAAGACATGATTAATATGTCATCTAGATAACATTGTAAACGCACCGGGAGGGTACGAAGGTGTGCTGCCAAGGGAGCCAAAATTTTGGTAAAGACCCTGGGGGCGGAAGACAACCCAAAGGGAAGGGCCCTGTATTGGAAATGGCGTCCCTGATAACAAAACCTAAGAAACCTCCTGTGGGAGGAACAAATAGGAACATGTAAATAGGCTTCCGTCAAGTCTATTGATGTGAGGAAGTACCCCTGCCGAACACTTTCCAAGATGGAAGAAAGAGTGTGCATCTTAAAATGCCTGTAAACAACATATTTATTGAGTCATTTCAGATCGAGAATCGTCCTCCACCCCCCCCCCCCCCCCCCGAGGCCTTTGGAATAACAAAAATTCTGGAGTAGAATCCCATCCCGTTGGTTGAGGGGAATGGGCGTTGGTTCTTACCTGACACGCCATTTCTCTGGAGCCGTGAGGATCATCCAGAGAGTGGGAGGTGCTTCAGTCTACGTCGTTGATGGCTGAGCTCAATCACTGAGGAACGCTCCGCCCTCCATCACGTGGCTCTCTTGCGTTCCCCAGTTTGCGTGAAGACGAAGGTGAAGAGAAGGACGTTGCTCTGCTCTCCCTATGCTAAATAGGTCATTGGCCGAAACAAGGCCCCACCAGACGGCAATTAAAGGGTGGGGCTGGATGATCCTCACGGCTCCAGAGAAATGGCGTGTCAGGTAAGAACCAACGCCCATTCTCCTGAGAGCCGTTCGGATCATCCAGAGAGTGGGACATACCAAAGCTTGGCTGTCCTACGGGAGGGACCCCGTCTGGTCCTGCAATCTCCGAGGTTCCCTGAAGACTCGCTGGAGGACTCGCCTACCAAACGAAGCCTCCGCCGAGGCAAAGGTGTCAATCTTATAG